CTACAAAATGTTTAAGCCTTTCTAAAAGTGCATTATGATCAGTGTGCAGTCACTGTGATTTACAAAAAATGATCCACACTGCAGCCACTAGGTGGAGGGAAAGTGCTTCCCAGACCAATGATCTGTGTAGGCAAAGCATCAAGCAGCTCATAGGTTGCATGAGCAGAATTAAGTTAACACCAAGAAATAGACAACTGCCTCCACTGGCTGTAATTGACACCTTATGAGAATTCTCTGTGAAACTCAGCATCTTCTTGACATAAACATTTCCATCTCCCAGCAAGCAGCCGGACAGTTGATTAAACCCAGGTTAAAAACAGATTTCCATAGTTGGTTAAAACTATCTTGGCATAAAGGAACTTGAGTGGCATGTTTGAACACACCGATTTTAACTAGAAAAGTTAACTTTAAATTAATCAAGTTGTGAGCTGAAGTTATTATAAACTGGGCCAATTTCGCTCTCAGAAATATTTTGGAAACCTGCAAATAAAGAATGCAAAAGATCTCATATTTGAAAAAATGTAAAGATTTGAATAGGAGCATTTTTTCCTCTCTTCAACAGGAAAGTTTAAGACCTAACCTGAATCTTCATAACATTAGTCTTCCATTACAGTACGTGATAGACCAGACAATAGTACGTGAAACAGTCCCAAGACATTGTGCCTCTGTGTACTGTGACATGAACTCTGGAGAGTTATCCAGACCCCAAAGATCAGCCTTCCCTTTATTACTCCTTAAAATGTTGCATTTCTTTAGCTCACATTTTTCATCAGTGGGACATTGTGTGAGCCTCTTGTCGACACCCTGTTTATACCTCCACAGTCATCTCTAATTGCATAACTTATATTATACCTGACCATCTCTGATGATCCTCCTGGAGCTGACTGGTGGCTGGGTCTTCCGGCATCATTTGGAACAACGGTTTAATTTTAATTCTCATCTTTCTGATACCCATTTTCTTTTCAGGGCACCATTTAAGTAGAGCATATGCACCTTTTTTGAAAGTTTTCTCCACTACAGTCAAACTTTTGATCAAATCGAGCAGTTCTTCTCAACATGTGATCATCCACTGTACTTAGATTCTTTACAAAAGTAAAAATGTGTTCATATCCCTTATCAATTGGATTTGATATTGTTGTTCTAAACTATTGTAGCTCTTGGCCTTTAATAACTTAATCCTCCACTAAATGTACCACTTTCTGTAGAATTAATCTATGATATAAACTATTAAAATACTCTCATATAACGAAGAATAACTCTTTACATTCAGAGCAATACAACTCAATTCTTAAATCTTAACAAGGACGCCACTGCCCTCTAGTGGTAGGTTTTGAAAGTACAGATAATGTGGAAGGAAAGGACACCATGATCTCACACAGCTCTGATTGAAGTTTTCAGTTTGAAGTTTAATGTTATTCCATGCTGTGTTTCAGAAAGAATACAGATGGTACTTATGGCTCCGGTGAGAATATCCAGTAGTACAAATCAGATTCACGTTACACATACCCAACAGAAGGAGGAGAAGAAATGAGAGGAAATGATGACATGAAGAAACCTGAAAGACTCAGGGAGGACGGGGGGATAAATGCCCCCATTTTCCCAAACTTATTCTAATGCAAACTGCAGTAATCAAAGAGTGCTGGGCGGTCTTCTCTCACACATTTTCTATGTTAAAAAGCCATTACCTAAATAAGTAACTTTAGCAAAAGCACTATAGTCTCACAGCACAACTCTTGCTCCAAGGCAGGACAAGAGGACAGAGATGATTTAATGGGGACATTCTGATGTTCGTCTCTAAAAGAGACACCAATATGTAAGAGGAGCAGATTTATAGGGCACTTTGTTAAAACTGAAAGCTGCTTTTCATCTTCCACCATTGCTGTACGCACTAATTATGGGGACTGAAGCATTTCAAACTGACAGCATGGAAACGATGCACATCTTGAACACACATACACAGGACAAAAAAAACAAAAAAAAAACAACCGAGTTTCATCTTTAAATAAACCCTTGCATATGTATGTTACAAATACAGGCAAGCAGACTTGGCAACAGATGATGCAGCAAAGTAAAGCGAAATAAAAACAGTGGCAGAGGACTGCAACTTTCAACGGTTTGGTGCTTGAAGGAGGAGTAAGAGAAAAGGTAAAACCCCTGGGGAGTGGATATGAGGGCCTGAGTGGACCCTTGGGAGACAGGGAGCTGGCGTACATGTAAGAAGGGTGAGAAAGGCAGGTAGAAGTGAGGCGAAAGGTAGAGGAAGATAGTGGGCTGAACCCCGCTGGAAACTGTGGCATGGGACAGGAGCTAGTGCTGGGACGAGAAAAATAGGAGGAAGGTTTGTCTTGAGTTGTTCAGTCTCACTGGGCTTCTTCCTCCGCATCTTGCTGCGCTTCTTTGTTCTGTTCTTCACCTGAAATGAGGAACAAACAGAGCGATTAATAATGTTGCTGCAATCTGAGCACATTATGATTTTTTGTTGACAAGTGATCAAGAACCAGAGCCATATCCATACAGAATGCATCACACTGCAGGATTAAATCAATAAAGTAATAAAAAAACAAAATGTTTTCTTGTTTATTAGAATAATCTTAGAGCATCATGATGACAGCTTTAAAGCCAGCAGTCTGTGCAGGATCACATGAAAGGCAGCAGCAGAAATTTAAAAATAACTTTAGAAGTCAAGTCTGCAGCAAAACTGAATTTTTTTTCACACAAAAAAAAAGCAAACTATAATTAGAATGGTGTTAGCCTGGCATACAGTCACCTGTTATATTAGCATTACGCAGCATATGCCAACATAGCACAATATAGACAACATTTTAGCATTCTAACATAGCACCTGATGTGCTAACATCCACAGGCCATGCTAACATAGGATTTCATATCTGAAAACATGGCCTACCAAAAGCATAACATAGCATATCCTAACAGCACAACACTTACATCACACATTTAGAGCCATAATATAGGTCACCATAAGCTAATAGGCATACAGTACGCTAGCTAATTATATGATAAATAAAGCCATAGTAAAGCTCAATACACACCATATACCAATATTCTAGCAGAGCAACAGCATAGCATTCTGACATGGGAGAGAATATGCAAACATACCAAAGGTTTGCTAACAGTGTAGCAGCATAGCATGTGCTAACAACAACATACCAAAGGTTTGCTAACATAGTGTAGCAGCATAGCATGTGCTAAAAAAACATACCAAAGGTTTGCTAGCATAGTTTAGCAGCATAGCATGTGCTAACAAAAACATACCAAAGGTTTGCTAACATAGAGTAGCAGCATAGCATGTGCTAATAAAAACATACAAAAGGTTTGCTAGCATAGTGTAGCAGCATAGGATGTGCTAAAAAACATACCAAAGATTTGCTAACATAGTGTAGCAGCATAGCATGTGCTAAAAAAACATACCAAAGGTTTGCTAACATAGAGTAGCAGCATAGCATGTGCTAATAAAAACATACCAAAGATTTGCTAGCATAGTATAGCAGCATAGGATGTGCTAAAAAACATACCAAAGATTTGCTAACATAGTGTAGCAGCATAGCATGTGCTAAAAAACATATCAAAGATTTGCTAACATAGTGTAGCAGCATAGCATGTGCTAACAACAACAGACCAAAGGTTTGCTAACAGTATAGCAGCATAGCATGTGCTAACAAACATACCAAAGATTTGCTAACATAGTGTAGCAGCATAGCATGTGCTAACAACAACAGACCAAAGATTTGCTAACATAGTGTAGCAGCATAGCATGTGCTAAC